ACACACACACAAAATGTATAAGCTGGCAAAATAATAAAATAATTTCCAAAATTACCAGAAATACTAGAATAATCAGAAATTTATTTTCAAGATATTGATTTGGAAAAATCATAAATTCTAATTTTAAAAATAAAAATAAAAATTGATTATAAAAATAAATTTGGTAATTAGTTTAGTATTTAAACTTATAATTTATATATTAAACTAATTTTTTTAAACATTAATAATTTTTCTAATTAAAATAATTTTAAATATTAAAAATTTTTTAAATTTGTTTTCAATTTATAAAATTTTTTTTCTAATCTCCTTTTATGGTAAGATATTTTTCTCAAATTGTAAAATTAAATGTTATTATTTAATTTAATAATTAAAAGTTATTATCATTTAAGTATTAAATTTAGATATCTTATTATTATAACTTTAATCATTAAAACTAACTTCTGTAATTAACTTGTTCAATTAAGATTTAAAATAATATAAAAATTTTATATTATAAACATGATTGTAACATTGCATTTAGAAATATTTAAGTCTCATAACTTTATACTTTGCACTAAAAACATTTCTCAATTTTACATTTATATTGAATCTTTTAATGCATCTTTGAGAAATTAAGTTATAAAATTTATCTTTTTTTCTTTTTCCTTCAAATTATTTATTCTAATTGTGAAAAATTCAAAGAGTCAATATTATTATCGAAATCTTTATCATCGATATCAAAATTGGAGTTTCAAAATTGTATTCTTTCTTTTTGATATCTTCTTGATTAAGGTAAAAACTTTTCCACGTGATTTCCACGTATCGATTCTAAAAACATGACATACAAAAAAAATGTTTAAATCAGAAGATACAAGTTTGAACTGCATGACGATTATTTTGATTGCATTCAAATCAGATCTTAAGCGCGCTTCTGAAAAGTGATAACGACTCACCTGCGCAATCAAGCAACTTTCCCCCACAGAAGAAGATAGCGGAGGTACCGGAATAAAAATGTTCGACGGCGCTGCGCCCACGTGTCTGGGCACCGTTGATCCACTTTCGAAGCTCCGAGATATGTCAAAGCACGCAAAACACAACACACACGCACCGTGCTATCAATAGACGCGACTTCCTTATCAACTCCGAAACGCACGCGAAAAACGCGATGAGACGTAACACCTGTTGCACGAACGGCAGGAACTGAAGAGTCACAGCACCGCCATAGCAAACCGCCCGCGAGAAATGCGATGCAATATTCGATGCGTCATCTTACGTCAAATTCGCAACACACTAACCCGTGCGCGCTCGGTAGCAGCGCGAGAGAAAACAAAGAAAGGTACTAAGGGCTAAGGGATTATATCGGCCCTTTCGTACGTACGTATGTTAAATAATCGATAAATGTTGCTGAATAGTCAACAAATGATTGTACATGCTTCAGGAAATCTTACAAAATGTAACCTTCGAAAAATATTGGAAATGAAAATATTTTTTGATAAACTTTTAAAGATATTTAAAAATATATTTTTTAGACGTGCACGTTGTCTATAAATGTAGTATGAGCACATGTATCAAAAGTGACATACAGAAAAATGAATGTAACTATGTAATTTACATCTACCGTTTCTAGTTGACGCTAGTGTGCAGATGACTTAATGGTTACAGGAAAATGTCCAGTGTAGCTGTTTCAGATCTCTACCATTTCAGCCATTGATAAAATAATAGACTGTAATAAATTAATTATATTTTGCTTGAGAAATCTTTATTTTTAAATTAATTTTCAAAATTGCTTAATAATTGTATACGTAAAAGAATTTTTTGTGAATAATTGAGCAATATAATAAAGTTTATAAGTCTTGCAGCAAGATTTGAAAAAAATAATAACAAACTTAAATAAATAACTTATGTATACTTAAACTACATAAAAAAATATATTTTTCTTCTAAAAATAAATCTAACGCAAATGTTTATTGTTTTTTATATTTGCTGTATTTTTTGTAACATCATTTTTTTCTCTTCTTTTCCTAATATCCGATTTTCAATACAAATTCTTTTTTAAATATAATACGGCAAAATATAGTCTATTTGAAGTAAATCAAATATTTTTTATGTTACATAGACAGATTTGAACTGCAATAACTATTGACCAATCAGCGTACTCATAAGAATGCGCGCGCACTGCCGATGATTCGAATTCGATATGAGCGACGACGAAGGCGTCGTGGCGTCGCGACGCCGCAACCTGTGCGGCATCGTCAGTCTGAACGTGTTCGTCGTTCTATACGTATTGTCGTATGTCATTTCAAATTTGTTCCGATTCAAATTTTGTGCGGCGAATAGCCATGTTCCTCTGTTTTCCAATATAAAATTGCGGAAAAACGCATCCATCATCGGTGTAAGTGATAATACATTACGAAAAATTATTAAAAATTCTTTTAAATATAGAATATACAAAGTTATTTAATAATTAAATTAAATTTTATAAGATATAGTTAAATTATAAGATGTAGAACATATCTTTATATTCATTGATTGTTTTCCATCCATTGAACATCCATTGTTTTCAATAATTTTACACAGAAGTTTTTAAGTCTTTAAATACAAAGAATGTTCAAATTTTTAATAATTTTTAAATTATAAACTGCACTAAAATTAATAAATTTCATCTTGAGGCTATAAACAGTTGATAAAATTTTATTTATTTTATCATGATAAATTATAATTTTTAAAAAATGTTTTAATTTTATAAAAGGAATGAAATTCGTTTACTTTTTATTTTATCTAAAATATTTATTTATTGACGCTTTTATCTAAAACATTATTAACAAATTATTTTGCTTTCATTAACTTTATTTAAAATTAAAAGATATATTAAAAGCTTTGCAAAAGATATACAAAGAAATATTCAAGATTTAACAGAATTGAAGAATTTTGGATAAAATATATATTTTTCAAGATATGCAGTATCAAAAACTTTAAGAGATAGTGACATATAATTCAATTTTTGTAAAGAAAAATTGACTAAAAGTTCAAAGAATTAATCAAAGAATTAATTCTGATTGTATATGTTCTGTATAATAAAAAAGAGAGTATAATAATTGCCTGAATGATCTTGTGTGCGATTAAAAAGATTATTATATTTATAAAAATATGCGCAAACATGAATTTATACATAATTTTCTTTATTGTCTTTACAAGAAAATTATAGCAGTATTATAGTAGAACCCATGACTAGGTCAAAGTTTAGGCTTCACTCGGTCAAGCGGTTACCGCGTATCTATCCTCTACGATCTAAATTCGCTTATATATATAGTCACGTATTATATCGTAGAAACGTAAAATCACTACATCGTAAAACGTGAAATCGGAATATGTAACAAGTGAAACACAACAAAAATAAACAAAAAGATTTCTTTCATAAAATTATTATCAACCTCTATAATAATTTTTAAAATATGCTTATTAATTGTGAAATCTCTTAAATTACTTTAAGGAAGCTTCTTTGCAAATTAATTCAATCTTAACACAAAATTCAATCTTAACAGCAATTCATTCTATATGTATGTGCCAATTATAATTAATTTACATGTAATAAAATAGACAATATAAAATAATAATATAAAATAATAACAATAATATATAAATAATAATATAAAATACAATATAAAAATAAAATATCTTTTTAAATCTTAAAAATTTCGTCTTTTGAAAAAATTATAATAACAATTCTGAAAAATAAAATTTTATGTGGGAAAAATTAAATTTTAAATTTAATTTTTAATCTATTGGATCTAAAACATAGTTCTAGATTAAGTGATTTCTTAGTATATTTTTCAATATTTGTGTAAATACATATATATATACTATAATCACTTGCTACATAAGTAGCTTCACGCACTGATAAGAACGCGATGTGTCACGAGCCAGACGGTTTAATCTAGGTTCAAGGTTAGCCCATCTATGAAGGTCGGAATATGACGTAGAATGGAATATCCAATAAAAAAGTTTTACAGCAATTTACTTGATGAGTAGATATTTGATAATAATTTCCGTATTTTATTTATAAGATAAAGCCATACGATTATTGATAACTTCGATCATTAACGTCATACGTAGTTCATATATCAGATCTGGTTGTGTAGTCATTTTTGTTTTACGGAAAGAAGAACGAGAGTGCAAGCAATGTGAATAAATCTATACATGAAATATGTCAAAAGTGATGCAATTTCATATGAAAAGGCATTTGTGATACATGTTATGCTTTTCTATCTGATTCGTGTAAATGCAATATTATTATATTTGTAGATAAATTGCATAAGTGATTGTATATATTATTATATTTTTATATATTTGATTAAATTAAATTAAATATTTCTTCTCTTTCTTTTCTAGTAGAAATATTTTGTAAGATTACATCTCAATGTTTTTTGAATTAAAACGAGAAGAAAATTTTTTTAATTTAGCAAAAAATTAATAGTGACAATATCTAAAGCTTATTAAAGAACATAAATATAAGATTTTATTTTGCATTTTATTTGAAATTCGCTTAAATAAAATTAGATTAGATTTAATTAGATTTGTAATTAGTTATTAGAATATTTAACGTACAATAAAATATTATTTAAAAAATAATATGCAACACTAAACTCCTAAAATAAATTTATAAATAAAAAATATTATAATAAACAAAACATTATATTAATACTTTATTTTTATAAAATTTACAAGTTTTTTTTAATTTACATAAATGAAATAAATAATAAATAAGTGTTAAGAAAGAAAATCGCAAATTAATAAACTGTATTCTAAAAGGATACAATATATCGCTTGCGTGATATGTGCTTTTGATTTCTTGAAAATCGGAAAAGGTTTTGCAAATTTGATAGGAACTCCAAAGTACAATCGATGACCACGTTGTTTCTCTTGGAAACAAATTACTTTAAAGACATGTTTGTATTCGAATTCTAATTATCTTATATATCTTTACAATTATATTTGTTTCAATTCTTTTATTGTTTATTATAATCATTTAACAATGATAGATAAATCAATGCTCATTTTAAATTGCCGTTTAAATGTTAAGTATATTCATTTTCATTAACTAAAAATAATATAATTATATATAACAATAAATATAACGGTATAACAATAAATTTGATATTGCAATTTAATTTAAATTATATTAAAAACACTACGTCTTTTATTTTCTACAATTATTGTGCACTTTTTTATATTTTTTAATATGCAATATTTATCTTTCATAATAAATGTTGATCACATGAAACAACGATATGAATTGGTAATAATATTATTTTTTCCTTAAATTATTACACATATTGTTACATACATTGTATATTTTTCTCTTTTATTATGAAAAAGACTTTATAGCAATAGCAAAATAAATGCTTTCTAGAATAAGTTTTATTTTTTTATAATAAAAAATATTGAATAAGTTAAATAGAAAACAATTGTCCTCTGTTTTCAGATGTCCGAGTCCGTAAAAGTGGCAGTAAGATGTCGGCCTATGTCCAACAAAGAATTACAGCATGGATGTCGGGTATGTGATAATACATCGGTTATCATTCATTTACTATTTTCTTCACTTATTGTTCACTAAATTATTTAATATTAATTTTAACATTCATCATTATTATATCACATATTTTTAAAAAAGTAAATAATTATAACGTGTCAAGAATAACACGTGATTCATGTTAATCAATAAAGATGAAATCGAGATAGAAGAAAATCGAGGAAGGGAAAGAAGAAAATTGAGAAATTAATTTAATTGAACTGAGCAAAAATGTTAGTTTACATTTGTATATTTCACT